CAGAAGGACACAAAGAGGAGTCTTACTTTTAAACTGCTGCAAAAGGATCTAAACAGAAGGACACAAAGAGGAGTCTTACTTTTAAAAAAACTGCTGCAACTTCTTGTGTAGCAGCCCTGAGATCTTGGCCGTTTACTTCTAGTATGTGATCTCCTTGTGTCAATCTTCCATCTGCTTCTGCTACACCTCCTTTAATCTGAAAGTAAAACTTTTATTAAAGAAGACGAAGCCGGATGAAAGGATACTTAACGTTTCTGTTAGTCATTTGATTTAGCCATTTTTGAGTAAAATATCTTGAAGCTGTTGGTTTTGGTGAAGATATTAAGTTTGAATATTTTATGATTGATTGTTCAGATTTGAGGATATGACATTTTAATCCAATGTCTTGACTTGAAAGGAAAACGGAAAAGAACGATCTAATTATTTATTCAGCAGTTAATCTGCGCTTATTATAATAAAACAGGAACATCGAGTGAATGATCTGGAAAATGAAAGTTAAACTAAGAACGTATTAATATTTATTATTAGCTTGTTGTAAAATATAACTTTTAGATGTGTCGTTGTCTTTATACAGTTGCTTACTTCATATTATAGCCTTATGGCATGGACTTAGAAGCTTACCACGTCTGATATAAAAACCCCTGGACCGCTCTTTTTACCGACGATGCTAAGTCCTAGTCCTCTTCCAGCCTTTTTAAAAAGATCAACTTCTATGATATCGAATATGTTTCCTCCATCATAGTCGAGACCCTCTTCACGGTAGACAGTCATTCTTACAGTGGTGGGTGTTTGTCGCAGCGCTGTTATTGCTTTTTCACGAGTGACATATCTTAAGTTTTCTCCATTCACCTTTCAGAAAAAAATCATATAATGCATATAATCATATAATCATATAATCTGAACTCAATGTGTATCTAAACGGAAATTATAACGAATGTATACACTTGTTTGATTTTAGCACCAAAATGTATAATGGGCTATCTGCGCTGCGCCCATTACAGGGATCGAAGCCAGAATGTTAGCATTACAAGCCTTCGAATTTACAGATGAGACAGGGATGGGGGCAGAATATATACACAAATAAGCGTTTGTATAATAGCAGACTTTGAATGTCGATATTCAGCTTTTGATAGTCTGAAGATTCTTGAAATCAAAATTTAAATTTTAAGTAACTGAACCGTTCCTCCACTAGTGAGAAAAGAATATTACTCCCTTTTAGTCTTCTCAATGAAATGTTATCACAAAAATCAAAATATAATATTGTTCAAATTCTCATGCAAAATTAGTATGTTTAAAACTACAGCAAAACGTTTCTGCCCAATTCACTAATTGTATCCGAATATGAGAAAATGGCAAACCTATTTTGAAAACCTACAAAAAACTTTTCTGTACGAAATACCTGAACTATAAGCTGTATGGTAACAAATGATCATTAATCTTGAAAACTCCCATTGAAATTCGGAAATATTAGTAATTGATCTTACCAAACCAAACACTAAAATGAGAGCAACAAAACTAACCGTGAAAAACTGCTGAAAAACAAAAACAGACAGGAGTTATAAGTAATGTTTCTAGCTACATGCCAAGTCGAATAAGAAGGAAACCGATACAAGAAATCCAACATAACACATTTCCTAAGCGATACGTTCTCGATGGAGAGATCTGGTTTTCAGACTCTTTGAAGGGAAAGGTAATTCCTTTTTTAAGTTTACGTCGAGATAGCTATTAACGCATCTGTTGCCTGGTTTTTCCTTATTTCTCTTCATCATTCATCTCCAGTAGATGATATCCTACCAAACATTCGACAAGCACAGAAAATCTAAGTAGGAAAAGTAAATTCGATTTAAGAAACAAAGTTCACAAACGTGAAACTAACCTGATGAATGATGATAACCTGATCCTGATGAATTTTAAGCAATTAAGTTATTTTAAAATAAAACACCCCAAAAATTCAAATTAGTATGGAAAAAAATTGGGCTCAAAGCGTCACGAAAAAAGGATACGTCATTGTTTGTCATAAATTGGCAAGACATAAGCATTTAAAAATCAGACATACAATATTCCCGAAAATTATGTCAAAAAAATTGTGTATCAGAAATTTCCGTTACGGGGATTTTTTTTTATTTGTTTGTTGTTATGCACAAAGCTCGCCAATGGGCTATCTGTGCTCTGCCTGCCGCGAGTATCAAAGCTTAAATTTTATGTTTATTTGCCATCAGACTTACAGCTGACACACTGACGGAGGAGAAGGGGTAGCTCTTACAAGGAATACTTATATTCCGTCAGGCTGGCCCCACAGCGGGATATCTACGGATTTACAACGCTAGAAACCGGCTTTCGATACTCGTGGTGGGCAGAGCACAGATAGCCCTTTGTGTAACTTTATGCTTAATAACAAACGACGACAACAACAACAACCGTCAGGCTGACGGAGTTACATTGCAACAGGCGTGGAATATGTCGGCAGTTGTGTACTGCCCCAGAAGGAATTTTAACACATGTAAAAGTAAATGTTAATAAGTTATATTTAATATGATTTCCGGATATCCTATTTTTGTGCTTATTAGCTGTAGGTCAGTTTCTTCAAAGAAAACTAAATTCAACAGGCTTCATCATTACTAATAATTCATTGATGATGAAAATTTGCAGAATATATATATGAAACATTTTTTTGGTGTACAAAACTTGAAGATAGCTTTTATATGCGGAAACATCTGTTAGCTGAGTTCTTGCACAGATTTTAAAATATAACGTTGATAAACGGAAACATCGGCACATGTAGATGTGTAGACCTTGAAAGTCAAATTACTTCAAGGAAAATTGCGAGCTTCTCAATTGCTCCAAAATTTGGTCCCAAGAAATGTCCTGTTTACCTAAAACTACCATGGATTGGTAAGATTTCAACAAAATGTGAAAAACAATTGAAAACGGCCATTACTAAATGTTTTCCTATAGTGAACCCCTACTGTGCTTATTCCACACGTAAGTTGTTGCCTGTAACACACAAAGATGCGATACCTACCACACAGAAAAGTATGGTTATTTATGAATTCTCGTGCCACTGCGAATGTCTGTACGTAGGTCGCACTTTACAAAGACTGCAGGATAGAATTAAACAACATGTACCCACATACATAAGAAATAAGAGCGTGAAGGAAAATAATTTACCATGTCGCTCCTGTCAAACAAAAGTTCTACCACATAAATGTGAATCAGCCATTGGCCAGCATTTACTAGTGAACCCGACTTGTGCTGACAACTACATGGATGGCAGGTTTAAAATTATTGCAAACGGTCGGTCAACCTTTCATCACCTTTATTAAAACACATAAACCTGTCCTTTGCCGCCAAAAAGAATTCCTATACAATCTACACATCCTTCAGTAGGTC